GGTTCGGGGTGGGAGGCTCTCGTGGTCTAGAGGTTAAGGTGTTCGCCTTTCATTCAAAGGCCCCGGGTTCGAATCTAAGTAGCGATAGGAAAACTTTCTTCTGTAAAATTGTCCCCTTTTACCTCCTTTCCTGCTCTCTAACAATGTTCTGTCTCCACTTTTGTCTCCACCCCCTCACCTCCTTTGCCCCCTCCTCTGGGCTCCTGACTCTTTCTGCAGCCTTTCTACTGCTACTCCTTGGCTCCTTCTTACTGCTGTCTTTCAGCCACACCTCTGATCATTTGGTTATAAAGATCTACACATAGCCTTCTCAGACAAGGGCGAAAAATCTCGGAGGTCCCGTGTGCAAGTTGCGCACGTTAAAGAACCCTTGGTGGTCTAAAATCGATTATAAGATTATGCTTCGGCCTCCACCTGGGCAAAAAGTCAAAATTTCCTACCAACTGAAAATGTTTAACGTGTCCCGCGCGCTTATATGACCGTACGCAGTTGCGAGCGCAGTAAAACACTTACCAAAAAAAGGGAGTAGGACAGTTGCTCTAAACACGTCCTTCATTTGTGTCAGGTCCAAGCTTAACCAGGGCCGCCATGTCTGTGAATCCGCAAGACCATAATTTGTTGTGAAAATGCTAGCTCCGCACTAAACTCTCTTCCTCCTCCTCCTCCTCTTCCTCCTCCTAGTCCTCCTCTTCATCATCATCATCATGACTTGTGTGTCCAGAAGAGGCAGACAGGAAGGACCAGTATATCATCATCGTCCTCCTCCTTCTCCCCCTCCTCCTTCTCCCCCTCTTCCTCCTCCTCCTTCTCATCCTCATCATCCTCATCATCATAACTTATGTTTCCAGAAGAGGCAGGTAGAAAAGACCAGTATATCCTCCTCCTCCTCCTCGTCAGCATCATCATCATCATCATCATCATCATCATCATCATCATCATCATCATCATCATCATCATCATCATCATCACCACCACCACAGAAAACACAGAAACAGAGGACCAGTGCCGCTATATCAAGCCCAACCTCCAGTCCCGAATGTCGCCCTACTTCCTCTCCGAAGTGGACAGATTCCCCGTGCCTGACAACATGGTCGCCTGGGACGTAAGTGGGCAGCTTTGGTCTTCCTCTTTTTCTTCTTCTTCTTCTTCTTCTTCTTCTTCTTCTTCTTCTTCTTCTTCTTCTT